GACCCACCTCTGGCTTGATGGCACCAGGATGGGTTGTCCGTCCCAAGGGAAGAAGTTGCTCCCACTTGCTCTGATTTTGTACAGGATGGGGTTCCTGGGAAAGCTGCTCTCCACCATGGGGAAGCAGGTTGTGGGCCCTCCTGTCGAAGCCCACTTTTGGTGGCAGTACCTTGTGCCAAACGTGACACCAAAGCAAAGATTAAACGACAACCTGGAGCTCCCCCCGGACCCTGCTCCTATCACACGGACAGCCTCCATGGCGTCGGGAAGCCCGGAGGAGGAACCCACCGCGCTGCTCCGCTCCATCCAGCCCAGGCCCTACGCGGGAGTGCCAGAGACCAGCTCACCTGAGTGCTTTGTCAAGGGTCAGGCCAGTGAAGTCAAAGAAGCTGAGATACTCCTCTGCTACCAACTTGCTAAATTCGTTACTGTAATTAAAGAGGGAGTAGTCAGCCCTTTCATCAGGGAAGAAGACACTGTCTACAAGAGGAACAGCAGACTGCTGCCTCCTGGCCAGCCCAAACTCCCAGTGACACACTGCAGACGTGATCCCAGACCCAGGGGAATTTCTCCTACCTTGAAATGCTGCTGGGAGACCTCCAAAGGGCCCTAACGTGCCCACAGCCGAGCGCTGCCAGCCCGGGACACCTCAGAACAAGATGTTGGCTCCCAGTGCCCCTCTGCTGTGCTGCCGGCCAGGCAGAGCCTCCTCCCAAACCAGCCAGGAGGAGGAGGAGGCCATAAGGATGTCCTGTGCTCATCAGGCACCTTCTCTCTTAGCTAGTCCTCTGCCATTAGTGGGCATATCCCCTCCTCCTGCTGCAATATTACTGCTCTTCACTCCACATGGGCTCCCGTCCTGCCCTCTCACCACAGCACCTTGCTCGCTTGTCAGATGGATGCCCCTGGGAGCTGGAGCAGAGCTCAGCTGAGCTTCTGGCCCTGCTCATCCCTGAATGCTTCTCCAGAAACCATTCCCCTGCCATGGTTTTGAAGCATTTTGGAGACATGTTGCCTTTAAAGCCAGAATGGGTGCTGTTAAGTTCCTCTATCTACAAAACTCAGATAGCAGAAGTGCAAGAATAATCAATGAATGCTGGCAAGAAATGGGAGATGATCTCAATATGCTCAGCTTTTGCCATATACAATTCCTTTTCCTTCTCCCCTCAAAAAGAAAAGCATATTGCTAAAGGTTGCACATCCACTTTCACCCCAGGACGTTACAGGCAGAACTCATTGCTTTTCCTACAGCATTGTTTCATCTTCTGCTGTGAGGTGGATGCTGCAAAGCCTCTGGCATGGATGCTGTTTGGAAGCATGACACACAGTGGGATCAGGCAGAGCAGTGTGACAGCTCCAGGGGAGAGGTGCGGGATGAGTTTTGAGAGGCAGGACATCTGTATTGGTGCTGGAGTTTGCGCAGGAGACTGTTTCAAAGCCTTAAGAAGCCACAAGGCCTCACACTCATAAAACAATCTTAGAATTTGGGATTGCTAGCTCTGGGAAAGAACATGTCCTCATTGTCCCATGGCCCCCCAGTTAGTCTGTATGAAGCAGTAACAAAATGATTGGTGTGCAGATTCCTGCCAGCTTCCCAGGGAGACTTCTGCACTTGCCCTGAAACTTTACAGCAAGGTGGTGTGAGATACAGAAGATGACCACATGTTTGTGAAAGGAGATGCCACCACATCTTCACCCCTGTGACAAAGAACAAGCAGACCCAAACAAGCCCCAGGCCTCCTCTGGGATTCTCTCAGCTCCAAGTCTGCAGATGACCTCATGCATTGGCTGTGCCAGTGCTGGGAACTCACCAATGCTCTCCCTTCCACAGCTCAGGTCCCACCTTACACATGCAGTTGTAGTCTCCCAGAAGAAAAGGTCTGATTCCTTCTGTTTGGGCCCCTATTTACCAGGTCTTCTGGGAACCTGCTTGGGCACTCTGGGCACTGGGGACACAGCAACAACTGCCATGGACTGCAGCGATCAACAGGGGAGAACAGTATCTGACTCACCCTTCTTAACTCAAGCTTGAAGGACCGGCCTTGCCCAAGACTCCCTAAAGCCAAAATACTGGGCATGTCTATAGCCCAGCACAGATCTTGGGTGTGCTGAATTGCTCTTGAGATGCCTCCACGGCATACACTAGGAGCTACACCCTAATTTACTTACCTAACTAGATCTATAGTCAGGCAGGATGAAGGTGGGTGGGAGCTCCTCTTCACCCCACTCTCCCATCAGGGCAGCCTGGGAAGGTAGGTAGGCCTTGCTGCCTGTCCTTCAGCTCACTGGGTCTTGCTGAAGGCCAGAAGTCCATAGGAATTTGTGACCTCTGGGACAAGTGGTCTGTGCCAGCTGCTGTGGTGCCAACAGTCTTAGCCTGGGTGCCCATCACACCTTCCTGTGCCTCACTTGGTTCCTGTACTTGGAAAAGCTCCAGGCAGGGACTGACAGCTCTGCCGAGGGAACCAGACGGTGTTGCAGGACACATGAAGGCATCCAGTCCCTAGGAAGCAACAAACTCCTATGACTAGCTAGGGGCCCAGTGACATTGACGGGACCCTTCTCCCTGAGCTCCAGAGCCAGGTAACATGCCCCGGGCATGCCTGGGACACAGAGCTCCAACACTAGCCAGGCAAGACAAGCCTACACTAAGGTGGACTTAGGTGCTTGCTCTGGTTTCTTCGTTCAAGAATTGGCCTCCTCTCTGCCAGTCCCAGTCCCTCCTGCAGGAATGCGTGACATTTCCACCATGCAGCTCAGACAGGACAGAGACATCCCCATCGGGATAGCAAGGTGTTTCCCATGGGGACATGTCTGTCATCCTCAGGTTGGTGGCCCTGCCGCACAGCCAGCTTCTACAAACCTTCTCCCACCTTACACCCAGCTTGACGCTTCCTCCCTCTGCCTGGTTTGGGAAGGTCCGGGCATCAAGAGTGCTTACTGACCTGCCTGGGTCACAAGCCACCCCAGGAGTAAGACAGGAGCCCACAGTCTCCTGGGTCAAAAAAAGATTGTACATAAGAAATTTGGCTAAGTAATATTCACCTAACCTCCAGGGAAGGAAAATACGCTGTGTGCCCATGCTGTACTGCCCACGGGACTCTGACAACGCCAGCTCTCAGCGCACTGCGATGCTGAAACTGTGCTCTGCTGCCTGCTCTGCTGCTGCCTGCGTGGTTTGGTGAGCACAGTGCTCTCTCGGGAAACCTTGCAAGGAAGTGCCTGGCACTGCCATCTTCATGGTCGGGCAGCTGAGTCAGTTCAACCACCACCCAGCAAGAGACATGTGGCCGTGGGTAGTGACGGAGCTGAGACAATGCCACAGACAAATCCAGGAACAAGAATCTTCCGTGGAGAGTTCAGTTGCAAAAACACGTGCTTTTCAGGGAGACAAAGGTAATTTCTGGATTTGAGGTTAACTTCACAGAATTGCATCAGCTGGAAAGAAAATATTTGGAGATATCCAACCTCCATTTCCTTGTTCATCAAACCGTTTCTACTTTTTTCACAATGATGATGAATGGTTTGGGGTTTGGTTTAGTTTTTTGTCTTTTTGAGAAAATTGCCAATGTTTAAAAAGGAAAAAAAGGAGTTAAAATGAGTTGAAAAGCTTTAAAATGAGATTTCATTTTTCGAACAACTCTCCTAGCCAGTCAACCTCCTACATGGAGCTGGCTTGGAAGCATCACTTAAACTTACCCTGTTCCCACCACTGTAGGTTGGTCTTACATTGTCTTAAGTGAGCAAGACCAACACACCTATCCTCATCCTTCTTCTTTTCCTGCTCTGCAAACCCACCTGCTCGGTCCAAGAGCCGGCAGCTCTATCTAGTTCTTGTGCTGGGAAATGATTCAGATGTAAAAAACCCAGCTGATCAAAAAAGTTTTCTTTTAAAGGCTGTGTCAATTCCCAAATGTGGGTCACCAAACAGCTTTCCAACGTGTGAGGTTTTCAGTTGAGTGAGGATTGCAGGAACTAGCAAAGGAACACATTCAGAAGCACCACCAGAGACCAATTGCTTGAAACCACCCCCCTCCCCCTTCCGTGAGCTGGTATGGCAAATTTGCAAGAAAGGAGAAGGATGCTAGACCTGAGTCAGCAGCAACAGCAATGCACCTGCTAAAAACAACTACAGCAAAAGAGAAGAACAAGGATGCTCTCAGATGATACAAAGAGCCTCTCTAGGAGATCATTCGTGGGCTCCTTCTGTCCCAGCACTAAGCTGGGAGTCACAGAAAATCCTTGGTACTGAACCTTGGGTATTTGCTGAGGGACAGTTGTGTCCTGCTGATCCAGACAGGAGTGAGACATTTCAAGGACCTAAAAAAAGCCCCCAGCAACACAGGTTATATCGAACCCAGAAGAAGGATGATGGGGATTGGTGTCCTCACACCCACGGGCATCCTAAAATAATCTGTTACTGCTACACTTGTTAATGTTACTCTGTCTCTTAGAAATTTCCCACTTTTGGATAAACACTTTTTATTTCCCTTCTGCCTTACCCAGGCAAATCTACCAGCTGAGGTGCTTGGACCTCCAGTGTGTACCTGGCTTTCCATCAAACCCTTCATGCCATCTATACAGACTGGGTCAGGAGGCACTGCAGCAAGAAGATTTTGGGGTGCAGACATTAAAAATTTGGGGACTGGCAGGGAGCCCAGTGCAAATCCAGGTCCGGATCCCAAACCCTTCAGCCTGGGGATTGCTTTAGGGTGGTCTTGCCGGGCCCTTACCAAGCACAGGAAGCTCTTGGTTCTGGTGGGCAGCAGCCTGGGGCAGTTAATGCCCAATACACACAAGCAATTTGAATGATTCAGATTGCAAGAGCATTGGATTTGGACCAGTTTGAACTGGAAGGATCTCCAACAGCCCCGACTCCATCCAGCAAGCCCTTGTTAACAGCAGGCTTGCCCCTTCCTGTCTTTGTCCTGTCCTCCCAGCACGACCAGTGCTTCCCCAGACCCTCCCCACCACAGCTGTGTTTCTGCTGGCCACGCTCAATGCTGCCATCTCACTCCCTTGTAGGGTTGGCTGCAACCCACAGCCCCACTTACTTTTTCCCAAGCTGGCGTGCCACATCACAGCGCTTGAAACCTTCAAGGTTGTAGAGGCGCTTGGCCAGCCTCTTCGCAGCCTCGCTATCTGCCCTGCAGCCATTCACCAAGGTGTCCGTGCTGCCCTGGTCAAGCTGCTCCGTGCTGCCCATGTCGGAATCAGAGTCTGACAGCGCGTCTTTCAAGCTGGCATCACTACACAGAAACAAGAAATAATTCAAGGAGCAGCAACATGACTTGATGAAACCCCAAAAATTTCCATATTTTGATTTCTTCTTGTCCTACCAAAAAATATGAAAAAATAAGAACACATTTGTTAACTGGACATTGGACAAACCCTCTTTCATTTCAGGTCAAATGAAATAGAACACTTTAATTTCAAATTTGTAGAAAAAGATTGAAGAGAAGGTGACTTCTGCTTAGAAATGAGGACATATCCGTTCAAAGCAACCAGTCCCAACACCTTTTTAAGCTTCCTCTCTTTCTGTTGGTATGGAAAGGGATACCAAGCTCTTTCAGAGCTGTGGACATTCAGGAAATCTTGGGGATAGACAGTATGCTTTTCAGTTCAGATTATTTGCCAAGGATGAGAAACTGCACTTGTACAAGTCATGCCAATGGGACCAACGGCAGACCTGCTGTTGGTGGTGGGCTGCTCTTCTCCCAGCTGCCAGCTGGCATCGTGGGCAGCTGTTCCCACAGACAACACGCTGAGCAGCCCCACTGGCACCATGAGGTGGGGCTGCGTGTCCCAGTTTAAGAGCAGGGAGGACTCAGACAGAGGCCTGCTGGGGACTGGCTGGTTTAATGCCGTGAGACCTTGGTCCTCAGCTGCAGTCCTAACCTGCAGGTAGGAGAATTTTTCCTATTGGTGTTCAGCCTCTCTGCCATGACAGCACATGAAAGGAAGCACAAGGAAAAAAAGCAACTCCATCTCTATCATGTCCTCTGAGCCATGCTCCTGGACTGGGGCTCCATAAGACAAGAAGCCCTTTGACCAAGGAACTCCCAGCCTGCCTTACCTGATGGAGTTAATGATCTTGGTGGCATCTTCCTCTGACCCTTCCACATGGAACCCATTGGGGATACTCTTCAGGGACAACCGGCTCAGCACGTTCTCCGACCTGCTGCTGGTAATTGAGTGCCTGAGAGGGCTCCCAAAATCGCCCTCCGCTGGCTTTGCTGCTGCCTGCTCTTCCTTATCAGCAGCCGTGTGGTGAAGGGCTTCTCTCTGCTGGGCTGCCAGTTTCTGCTCCAAGAGCTCTGGGCTTTCTTTGACCCTTTGCTGGATCAATGGGGTGAGTGGGGCCTCAAAACTGACACAGCTGTCTGTCTCATCTGTGAGAGAGAGGACGTCCAAAGAGTCCAAGCTGCTGTAGTATGTACCCTTCATAAGGTCAGACTCAACGATCTTCTCAAAGGTCGAGCTGAACCCATCCCTGATGTCTTTGAATTGAAAATGATCCTTGTCATCCTCACTGCAGCTCAGCTTGGCATCTCCAGAAGCAAACCTGGACCAAAGGGGGAAATGTAGAAAATACTGTCAAGGTAATTGCTTGCACTGTTCCACTTGGAGCTAGGAGGCAAGAGAAGAGGCAGAAATGGATGCTGTGATTATAGCCCCTCTGGACCTTTCTGTGGTATAACCTGCCTGTTTCCCAATTTTATTACAAGCTTCTAGAGCTGAAAAAGGCAGAGGTTTATGACAAGCAATCCCAGGGGCCCAGCCAACCCTTAATTTGGTCATGCCCCAGTAAAAAGCCATACCTGTGAACTGGAGATGTTTGCATCTGACACCTGCTACTGGATCCACTGCCAGAATGGATTTAATCTGCCCATTATCTGTCCCTTCAAGTGCTCCAATTATGGCTACTTCAAAAGCATGAAAATACTTAAGATCAAGGACATTTCATCTAACTTTGGATGTCAGCAGCAAATGTCCTTGATCCCTTTTATTGCAAAGAAAAAGCAGAAGCTTTTAGGGAGCAATTCGCATGCTGTATGTTAAGCCTTTGTTCTTAGATGAGGCACCCTAGAAGTGCAAGGCACCCTACAAATAGTTTTCTCTCCACTGAGAGGGATGTAAAGGTGATGGGCACACATCCAGGCAGGGGAGGCTCCATGTCGCTTTACAGCTAGCATGTGAGATTCAGGCACAGCATCACAAACATGACAGGCTGTAAAATGCATGAACCTACAAGCCTATGTTCCATGCTTCCAGGTAAGCATGCACGACTCTCAGCAATCCCAACTCTGTTTGACTTGGAATGCAGGGGCATTCATTCCAGTGTACATCTCAATACGAACCCACACTGGGAGAATTCATCTGAGTCAAACCCAGCAACACCTGCTGTGCTGGGAGCCCTGGAGAGCTGGGAGGGCTCAGCCCCTCCTGGAATAGACCAGGCTTCAAGGATCTGCCTAAAACACCCTGGGTTTCTCAGGTGAAGCTGCCTCCCACTTCCAGCAGACACTGCTGTCATTTGCTTTGTCAGAACCAGGCATTTCATGCTGTGATACAAGTGAAAGCTAGGGGAACAGTAAGCTGTTTTTCCTCTGCCTGTGATGGAGTTAGTTAACTTTCTTCATAGCAGCACATATGGTGCTGTGGTTTGGATTTGTGCTAAAACAGTGTTGATAATGCACCAACGTTTTATCTGTTACTTAACGTGCCTGCACAGTGTCAAGGCTTTCTCTATTTTTTGCTCCCCAGCAAGTAGGCTGGGGGTAGGCCAGAGGCTGAGAGGGGACACAGCTGGGACAGCTGATCTGAATTGACCAAAGGGATATTCCATGCCATATACTGTCATTCTCAGAAAAAAAAATACAATAAAATAAAATTAAAAAGTGGGTTTGGTCTTTCAAAGTAGCCATTGCTCAGAGACTAGCTGGACATCGGTCTGCTGCTGGGAGGTGGTGAGTGATTGCTTTTGCACCACTTGGTGGGGAGTTTTCTCTCTTTCCTTCACTTATTAAACTGCTTTTATCTTGACCCACAAGTCTTCTTGCTTTTGCTCTTCTGATTCTTTCCTCCATCCCACAGGGGAAGGAGGTGAGCAAGTGCAAGGATAGGTGCTCAGTTGCTGGTTGCAGTCAACACACTGCACCTCCTCACTATGGTCGTCTCAGTTTGGAAACCCTGTGTCAGCATCACGACTGTGCCTAGTGCCTCTCCTAATGAGCATAGCCTCGCTTTGCAGCAGTCTACGTTTCCCTGAGATGAATTCTGGGGGTGGAATAGGGATGAGCAAGTTTCCTGTGCCAGCTAAGGAGATGCTGTACCTGTGCATGGCCAAATGCAGCTGCTGTTAGTAATGTTTCCTACAGGGTGCCAGCGACAGCCCAATCCCAGTCTTGCAGAACATCACCTGGCATAGAAGAGATTGGAAATGGACCTTGGGAGGTAGTGGCTCTAGCACAGAGGCAGCACAGCACTTGTGAGCCAGACATGGCAGAGCCATGTCAGTGTTTCCTAGGAGTGCTGACACTTCTCAATGCACTTTACAAATCAGCTCAGTCTTTTAGGTGGGGAAACTGAGGCACACACCACACTGCATGGAACTGGTCATAGCAAAAGTAAAGAGGGGTAGAGAGATATAGCCTTGTACCCTGTCTCCACCAGCAGACAGCAGAGAACAGGGAAAGCAAAGCAACCTCCCCCTGACAGCCCCCACAACCCCCCAGCTATCTGCAGCTTACAGATGCCCTGATCCAGAGACATTCAGCCCATTTTGTCCAACAGACAGAGGCTCCGTGGTTTCACGGTGGAGATGGACCCCTGAACATCACTGCTGTGCCTGGGCAGAGACTCAGTGGAGCCCTGAAGCCAGGTCTACTCGTACCATTACAGGGTCTGGGGTGCATACTTCCTTCTCTCAAGGCAGGAGGGATCTGCTGTATTTCCACCGCACAGCTAAGCACGTAGCAAGGAGGGAAGGCTGCCTCTTGAGCAGGGAGCAGGTTAATAAGGTCCTGAATTTACTGGCCCATATATACCGATGTAGTCTCATCCATTCCTGGAAGCCCCAGCCCTTCAAAATGCCTCAGGCAGGGTGGAAGATAGCTGGCCATTTCAGGACACAGTGGCCCTAAGGTCTAGGGAATATACACCTTGCCACCAATGATAACACACCCAATCTGGGAACCATCATCACCATTTTTGTGAGGAAGCCAGTTCTCATGGCCAGCACAGGATACACCGTGCCCAAGCGGTGATGCTCACATGGACTGGCTGTCCTCCAATACCCTCATCAGCATGGGCAGCAAGAACTCAGCATTTACCTGAGCAGTAATTCCAGGCAGCAAAATGGGACCTGGCATCCCTTCACATAGGGAAGTCCTCAAGGTTATCACCCTTGTTTGCTACAGACTGTGTGTTTAAAGACCCAGACCTCCAGGATAGGAGGTTCTCTGCCAACAAGGATCTCCTTACCCCAAGAATCCACGACAACCACAACAGTCATAGCATGAGAGGGGATACAGTGGACAACTAACAGAAAAGCAGTGTAAGGAGGGAAGACTCCAATGACAGAGGTGCACATAGCCCCATTGTGGCAGTGGGCACAAGTCAGCTACCAGACTTCTTGTCCCCCATCTCTGAAAGATAAGTGGGAGGATTTGAACAAAGGTAGATTTTTTTCTGCTTCTAACATACCAGGGCAAGAGCCATTGAAGAGGAGAGGACAAATCAGTGCTTTCAGGTTTCTTATTTCTCAGTATTCCAAGAGTATGAGGAACCCAAGCGGGTCAGGGTCCCATGAAGTGGCTATGCCACACTATCTTCCCGTCTTCATGATGCTGGATGCCAGGCCAACGGGTTGGTGAGCTGCCGCAGGAAGAGGGGAACCTGGCACAGCAGGGAGCAGGACAGACTTACCTGAAGGGCTCTGTGAGGAGGAAGACAACCATGAGGTTCATGAGACCTCACAGGCCCTGACAAACAAGCTTTTGAATGCTTTGAACGTACCCTCTGATGTCTGAGCCATCGGAGACGCTGTTTTCAAACCTAGCTCTGCAACTACATGGCTAAAAGCTTACATGAATCTGTAGACCCACATAATCCCTTGATTCCTGGAGCTCAGGGCTTAAGAAAACTCTCACCCAGTTCATCAGAGCTGGCCATGTAGCAAACCAGACATAAGCAGAAATGAGGCAGACAGCAGCAGCTCCAAGTATCTGCTGCAGCCCCAAAGCCCCTCATCCTCAGGAATGCTTGTCTTTACAGATCCATCCATCCCCGCAGGGTGAACTGCAGTGCCTGGCCATGATTTTGTGTACAGAAAAGATCCCCTCCTTCCACAAAGCAGGAAGAACTTAAAAAACTTCATCCCCTTGTGACAGGAAGGACTTTACAGCCTTAATTGCACCCAGCAGTGGGAATAACAGACCTGCCTCGGCAGCTTGTCCCGTTGCCAATCTTCTTGCAACAGCCTCAATCCCCAGTGAATTTCCATGTCCCCTCCCCTACAGACCATCTGTGTCCTCCCCACACCAAGGAAAAACCCTGGGCCTTTGTGGTTTGCCCAGGTCCTACAAGAGAACCATCACACCGCCCCTCAGCCTGCACTGCTTCACTCCCATCACCAGCATGTCTTTGTGCAGGAGCACCCATGCCGGAGGGCATGCCCTGGGGTTTGGCGCACAGCATGTGTTTCCAGGGGTGCTGTGCACTGCAGCTGTGTCTGTAGGTATTCTCCTCGCTGCTTCTGGGTATCAAGCCCATCAAGAGCCATCAAGCCATGCACCTCCTGGACATTACTTAGCAGGTCCCACATTGCCATAATCCGGAGCCAGACAGCTCCCGCTCTCGCGCCACACTGAACAAAGTTATTGCCATTAGCTGGTTCACACCACAGAGCTTGTATTTTCCAGCCCTTTATTTATCCCTTGAGTCAAAGTCATACAGCAGGCAACAAAGTGAGAAAATCTGTGTCCCTGCAAATGCCCCAGCAAAGGCCATGTGGGACAGGCTGCAGAGACCAGGGCAGGAGCTGAGGTCCTGGATGGGTCAGTGGGCACCAACAAGTCAGGCACATCACATCTCTCCTTCCGTGGTCCCAGAGAAGACGGAGGACAAAGAGACTTTCCAGCTTTCTACCTTTCACCAGCCCAGGAGCACATCTAATTCAAGCAAAGCCAGGCTAAGGTGGGAGACAGCAAAAGACCTCGTTCGTGTGAAGGAACCTGGCATAGCCTCCCCACAGATAAGTGTCATGTACTTATTACACAGCAGGGAAGGCAATTGCTTTACTTAAATAAGGAGCCGTATATTTATTTGCATTGTAATCACAAGGTTTTGTAAGCGTATTGAAGTAGCACTGTATCTAATTGCCTGTGCTGCTTTCCCCAGTCATCTCTGAAATGCTGTTTTATTGCTTACAGCAAGGCGTGCAGAGCAATGCACTTGGTTATTATTGCAACTGAACCGTACTGGATTTTTATGCACTGAGTTGTTTACATTTCACTTCTTGCTGGTTAATTAGTTGTAATAAAGTAGAACCTAGTTTGCTCTGTTGGTGGAGTGGGGAGGCCTGTCAGACGACATGATGGAAATCAGGACTTTCTTGCCTGTGCACTGCAGGCTTTCTGCAAAGTTTTTCCAAAACTTTATTTAATGGAATTTTAATTGCTCAATGGCTATATGTTGCCATGGGAGAAAACGTGTGGGCAAAGGCAGCAGTCCCAAACCTGCAAGCACTAGGTGCATCTACAAGCCAAATGTGGGTATTCCTCTATTAACAAGTTTGACCTTTTTTTATGATTTCATGGAGCCGAAAGCAGAGAACACCATTACTGGTGAAGCTCTCAGTTTGACTGCAGAGCTGCAACCTCTCTGAGACCAGCAGGGCCAATATTGGGGGCTTCTGGGAAGCTGAAAGACCTCTAGGCAACATAGCCACAATGATCGGAAAAGGGAGCTTTGACAAATGGTATATTGGCATGCTAATAGATGCCATGGGACAAATTGGAAAGGGGGTAAAAGGGATTCAGTTAACACAAAGCTTTGGCTTTATTTCCTTGACCTTTTAAACAACCATTTCCTGCATAGACGCACTAATCTACCTTCAGCGGGGCAATCATGGTTTCTTTGTCCAGATTCACCACGGAGTTGATGACCTTGGATAACTTTTCCCCCTTTAATTCTCCATTGGTTCATCGGTAAGAGCAAGACTAAACCCCTTCTCGTAAAGTACTTTAAGATCCAGGGACAAAATGCATCATAGGAGCACCAACATGCAGATGATAAGTGATTTTTTCCCCAGGAATGAATAGCTGACTGCTCATTGGTACAATATTAGGCCAGAGACAGAGAAACCCCAGGTTCTCCTACATCCAGAATGGGTCATAACAGAAACAGCAACATACCAAAGAGGAGTAAAGAAAGAACTGGGGAAACTCAGAGATGATGCAGGATGACAGTGACCTCTCAGTGCCTTGGTACATCTGTCAGCTTTGTTACTCCTGCCCCACATTGATCTAGGAGAGCCAGACAGTCAGCTATGGTCAGGATAGATCAGCTCCATGCTGTCTTTTGCTCAACCACGTTTCTGCCATTTAGCCTAAAGATGGGCGGTCAAAGTACTAAGGAACGCAAACACAGCAAGCTAACCCAGTCCCTAAGCAATAAGTGGTTTCCCAGGTTTCTGCTCTGTTGAAGTTTTCCAGCTGCCCTTCTGCCTTTGAATATAGTGTGTCACTTGTCCCTTGTGCATTCAGCTTGCCAAAATACTTATTTGCTATACAAGTGAATATGTTTAGAGCATAGGATCATGGACTGAGCACGCAAAGCCCAGTCAGGTTGCATCATGTCCAAAGCCTCAGCCTGCCACTTCTCCCAATTCATGCCCTAGTACCTTAAAATAATTGCACTTCCAGTGACTGTAGCAGCATTCCCTGACCACTCTTAGCTTCATCTTGAACTCACTATCTCTGCCAGGGAGCCACATACCAAGCAAATACGATTCCCTTGCAACCTGAGAGAGTTGCAGACATCTAAGTCCTGACTGCACAGCCTACACAGCTCGTGGCACCTGCCTGGGGGTGGCCTCCCCTAGCTCTCTGGACATCAGCTGCCTGCATTGGACACTCTTCTTCTTCCATACCTTCAGCTGTGCTTGTTGAAACAGTGCTGCTCCTTCTTGCTGGGGACCTTGGGTAAATCAAACCACCACCTCTTCGTAGAGAAGCCTGTTCAGCACTAGAGATGCAATGAATTAGGGATGCCTGTTGTCAGCCCACACGCTGTGTGGCTTCCCAGCTCTGCTGACACTCCTGCCAGCGCTCCGAACAAATGGCTCAGCCTTAAGCCTGCACTGGACTAAAACTAGGAGGCGATTCAGATGCATCTCTTGGCCAGCCTGTCCCTTTCACACCTTCTCCTCTTAAGAAGGCCATGCTCCTCTGTGACAACTTCTGCTGCTCTTCTCCAGCCCCCTCCTGCTTGCAGTATCTCTCCCATGCCAGGGCAGGTATGTAGGCAGGGCCATAAGATTCACAGCAGCCATAAAGTCCAGATGGCTATAATACAGATCCTAGATGATTTCTGGTGGCCAAGGAAGCATCTGTACTCCTCCCACAGGAATGGCACGGGAAGCACCCCGCCTTATCCCTGTGGCTGGTTATTTCCCTTCACTCCCAACCTGCAGAGCCCCAGGGAGTCTAGGCATTTGCAGAGCCATAAAATCATCTGTGGACACTGCACCAGTATGAGTGTCCCCCAGCCTGGAGAGTTCTCTCATGAAAACAGGCTGCCAGTACAGAGGGGCATTATACATGTGCTGGTTTGTCTCAGGCACTTGAGAGCAGGATGACACTTGTGTCTCTCATCTCTCACTGCTATGCCTGTGCCACCCAGGCACTGGTAACAGCTGCCACAGGTGCAGCAGGGAGCAAAGCTCAGTGCCTTGCCCTCTCTTACTAGCGGCACGGTCCTTGGGATGCAAAGCTGTAACCAGCTAGCGCAGGGTCTGCCAGAGCAAGCCATCCTGCCACGGGCTTCCAGGATATACCAGGCTCCTGGACAAGCCCCACTCCTCATCGTCCCCCGGCTGTCGTGCTTGTCCTAAGTTATCTCAGGTAACTCTGCCATAAGTGCTGCAGCTGACTCTCTAACTTGCAAGTGGGACACCCCCAAAGTGAGCACATCCAGCACCCAGCACTCTGGAGATCCCAAAAGCTTCTCCTTCACTTTAGTGACTCTGTAGGCAGACACTGGCTCTAATCACAGTTTTTCTACATTTGTAACAGGGAAAAGCAGTATGAGAAGCCCAGAGAGAAAAAGAGTGAAAAGCCACAGTCAGCCATGAAAGCAGCTGCAGCTTTTTAAACTGATGAGTTACACATGCAGCAGAGTAACTTGAACCAAGGAGGCCTGAGAAACAACACACGGAAACCAGCACTGAGCCAACGTTACAACAGCTTCACACTCACCCGAGCTGCTCCTCCGGCTCTTCGGCGCTTAGAGCTTCTGAAAAGCCCAGGACACTGTGCCACCGCTCCTTGCTGATGGCCTCACTAGGTATCTCCTGGGCGGGGGAGTCCTTCTCCCCTGAATCCATGCTGCTTTGGCTGGGCATGCTGCCGTCCTGCTGCTGCAGCGGCATCTGCTCCTGCCCCACAGCCAGCTCTGCGTCCATGCTGTTCGCCAGCACCGGCCTGTCCTCACGGCCGCTCTCGCTGGTGGAGTCTGTCCCCGGTCCCTGCTCACCCTGCCTCTCACCCAGCTCCGCTGCCGCTTGCAGATGTTCGTTCCCCTGGCCCCTGTGCTGCCCCTCTGCTCCTCGGGAGGGTTGAGCATCATCCCGGGGGCTGGCTCTCCCGCTGGCAGGCTCCGGAGGCTGGCTGAGCTGCTCGTCTCCATCGCTGCAGGCCAGCGTGGCCAGCTTCGAGCCTGAGGAATGCAGCTCTTGGCGGTCTGCAACAGACCATGGAAAGTGGCTGTTCTCGCTCATATTCCGTTTGTTCTCCCAGCGCTTACGGGCTCCCTCCCCACGCTCAGCTCCGGCTCGGTACTACCTACAACAGAAAAGAAACCACGTCATGAGCGCCCACGAGGGCTGTCAGAAAGGCATGGATTTGTCGACAGCATCTCAGAAGGGCAGCAGTTTGAAGCAGAGCACAGGAAAATGCCCCCCACCCTCTCAATCCCTCAATATAAAAGCAAGAAAGGACTATACTGGGGCTTACTGCTTTTACAAAGATTAGTGCTCATTACCCAGCACAGCGAGATCTGGAGAGGAAAATCTGCTGTTGTGGTCCTGAACCGTTAGGGGCCCAGGCACCCACCTTCTCCTGCTCCTCTCAGACATCCCCAGCCCGAAGCTCAGGGGACCCGGACTCTGCAGGCTGTTGATGCCCCAGCTGTGGCAGCAGCTGCCCAGGGCTGGGGACGGGAACGTGGTACGGCTGCTTTTCCCAGGCTGGCTACCAGGGTGCTATTCCCAAGTACTCCCTGCCTGCCAGAAATAGGAGAAATAGGGGAAATAGGAGATAGGTGTGGATTTTTTTAAATACTTCTAAGCAGTTGTGATGTGCCAACCTGTGTGAGTCTCCCTGCTGACTTCACATTTCTGCAGAGCTTCTTGCCTGCCAGAGTAACACTTTGCTTTTCCTGACACACAAGTACTGCTGAAGGGTGTCATAAGTTGCCAGCTAAGACTCTGGCAAAAGCATCCTTATTGAATACACTCTGGGACGCTCTCTCTGTAGGGCAAGGAAAGGACACTGTGTTGCACCAAATGAGACGAGCAGCTTTTTGATAAAAAGCACCTTATTGGTGAACGTGTCTATCAACGCAAAGTCTGCCAGTCTTGTAAGCACCATCCTGAGCCATGCGCTATAGCCCCACAGTGCTGTGGAAGCTTTTCTCCATTGTAACCCCTGCAGCTGCAGTCAAGTGACCACAGTGCCACCAGAAATGACCTCTTCTGGAAGTAGGAGTTTTTGTATGGGGCTCAGGCTGAGGCATGATAACAGCTGATTTTATTTTAAAACAATATTTGTCTTCACCTGCACAGGAAGCATGGCTAACCAATTACAGCAGGCAGATGGGACCCCTGGGTTCTCCCCCTAATTCTGTTCCTACCTCATGTGTCAAGCAGATCACTTAAACTCCCTGCCTCAGCTTCCCTCTCTGTAAACCAGGGATTATACATCACCTCTGAGAACCCCTGAGGGCGCCCAGATGTCAGCAATGGACTCTGGGTGCTCTGACTTGCTGAGCTGCAGCTCTCATTAGCAGTAAAATCATTAATTGCTTGCCTAGTGCAGGGCTCTACTAATTCTTGGTAACAAGAGGTGCTGGGCTGCAGCCACCTCTTCTCTTACAACTCCTCACTTTGTGCAGATGATGGAGACATCAGCAGCCTCCTCCCTGCTGTTGATTCCTCTGCACCTGGGCAAGGAGCAAGGGAAAGGTGGGATTTGACCCCAAACACCCACCTATGACCTGGGTATGGACAGATCCACATGGGTACGTACTGAGCTGCTGGCTGAGCAGGACCGATCTCAAGGGGAGCCCAAATGCTGTGCTGACTTTGCTCCAGCCCCACAGCCCAGGCAATCTTGGACCCAGGATCTGGCCCGCTCTCCATGTCCTGCTCCACGCAGTGGGGGACATGGTGGACTGGGGAGTTCAGAGCCCTGCATGGGATGGGTTTGGGAAGAACCACTCCTCGAGGGCTGCACATGCCACAGTCGTGAAATGGTGCAGGTCCCTCCTCGAGGCAGTGATGACAGTTTTACCTCTTCTCCACGTGCATCCGTGTGCATCCCTCGCTGTCACAGAGCACGCAGCATCCCCGCACCTATTGCACTAGGCGCAGCCAGGTGCTTCTGACAGATGCAGGATCCCTGCCTGCAACAAGGAACCAGAGAAAGTGAGACCCAGGCCACACAGGATAACCCCACCGATCTCCTGCCACCCGGCTGCTGCTCCATATCGGGCTGTGTTCCAGACCCATTCCATGGCCCATTCTTTGCAGAGCATTGCAAGCAGTCTTCCCCCTGCACACCCTGGTCCTCCCTGGTTTTCAGCCATGGCAGTGCAACAGCCGACTGAAGGAGTAATTCTTAGAAAGGGCTTCTTACTTCTTTCTTTATGAAGTCCCCCCTTGACCAAATAAAGCAGAGCAAAGAGACTATGTGGTTGCAGGTTTCAGGAGAAAATTGATGATGAGCCCACTGAATGTCCAATTTCATCCACCAGATCCATAGAGGGAGACACTTGTGTTGCAGATGGATCCCCCCCCAACAGTCGTCCCAGCCCCATCAACAAACCGAGAGCCAGGTTAGAGGCCTGTGAGTTAATTGTAAGCAAATCTGAACTATCAAAATCATTAATGCAGCAACATTTCCCTTGCAGATTGTACAATGCAGACAGGCAAGGGGACAATGATGTGTCTCCACGAGGTGACTCCAGGCTGGAGAAGCATGTCTGGTCACCATAGACGGTGTGTCATCTACAGACAACCGCCTGACCCAGCCGGCCAGGTCTGCTATAGTGTTGTTGGAGACAGACATACAGGGCACCATTCCTGTGCGTCTACCTCAGGCTGGGTGGATCAGGCCCTAGACGTGCCACCTGCTTTCCAATGGCTGAAAAGAGACCATGGAGGAGCTTGGCAGCAGATAGCTGTGTCAAGTGCCTGTGGAGGGATCTGCTCACACCCTCTCTTGGGCTTGCCCCCGCAGGCCTTTGGCCTCTCTCTCAAGAGAAAGGCCAGCCTAGACTTCCTGGGAGACCAGCACATCAGCCTCCTGCAGCCCAGCATCCCACCCACAGGAGCTGAGACCTCCCAAGGAAGGTCAAAATAAGCCCCTGGGACAGTCCTCAGGTTTGCACATGCAGGCAAAGTCTTCTCTTGCTTGTCCTTCTGCCATCCTCACTGAAGAGGAAAGACCTGCAAATCTCTTTCCCACCAAGTCCAGGACAGAAAATCAGTCCCAGGCACTTGGTCTTCCCACGCACCAACAGCAGGGCCAAGCCAACCAGCATCTTCAAGGAATTTACCTGCAAAACTACCAAGACTCTCCTGAGCATGATGACACTGTAATCTCAAATAATACTGAAAACCTAACCTGGGCTAAATTTTTACTTTCCCATAGTGAATGCATAATACAGACATGCAACACAGAGCCAATGCTCAAATCTTTGGAGGAAGCTTTCCAGCAAAGCTTTGCCGGCCTTTTTCTTAATGTGAGATGAATAATGTGGCTTTTTCAGGTACAGTTTTTTTAAAACCAGCCAAAGGGTTTGGGCTGAAATTTCCCACTTCCCTGCCATCCATCCAAAAACTTCACTAGGAAGGAGAGACCCCACCCAAGCTAAATTCCAGTCAAATAGCTAAAGCTTGGCATAGCTACATGCAACCAGAAAACAGGAAGCTAAATGCAGTTAGGAGACGGGCCTGAGTAAGAAATGTTGGCAAACCTTAGTAACTGTGATGTCCCATCCCTCCCTCCTAACTTTAACCAACTTATACTATTAATATAAAAAAATTAATATTTCTGTTATTACGTGTAAACTACTGCATTATGCCTACTCTGTTTTACCCTCTGTGAAGTCTAACTGGGGCATTTATGGTCTGGAAGAAGGGCTGAGGAGTCAACAGTTAAAACTCTTAGGCATGCTCTTCCTTGGCTTGGGTTCCCGCTGGAGAAGAGGCACTGGGGAAGCCCCAGGAGGATGCATGCACAGACTGTTGCTGAGCCAGGAAGACAATCAGCTCCCAGCTTCCAGTGTACCGGTCTGAGCAGAGCCAGGAGGAGAGATCCAGGCCTCTCGCTGCCTCCTGACCCCTCTGAGATTTGTATGTCTCCTGTTGGATCCATCCTCTGTGGCACACACATGGATGGAGGCTGTCATGTGCACCTGAGGTCTGCAGGCAAGCTGAGTGTCTGTGAACCCATGACAAATTACCCAACATGTCACTAGCTACTTGACTCATGCTTGCGGTGACAGTCACTTGAAGCACACCCAGGTTATGGGTGGCTGAAGCTTCCCAGAAGCTCCAGAGGAACTGGAAGGTTGGGTTGGAATGGGTCCTGGCTCTATTCCCAGCTGCTTATGGTGATGTCTTGTACTGAAGTCATGCAACTGACTCCTGCCACACTCAACCATGCAACCTGGCCAGAGTGTCCCATATTAGCTACAGAGGGTCCCTCCCACTCTACAGCCCCATGAGGCAGCCATATGTGGTAGGGCTCATCTGTGAACTGCGACCTTCCCCAGCTATGTGGGGTAGGTACATGGGCAAAGGGAAGAGGAGACAGGCTGCGATGCCACAACTTGGACTCAAAAGAGGACAACCAAGGGTGGAGAAGCCAGTTGCAACTTTGTACAGCTGCCTCCAGCAAATAGCTGGAAGGTTACCGGTGATGCATGGAGTCCAAAGACAGACTCTTACTGCCCTTGTGTTAGCTCTGAGAAAGCACCAAGGTGCAGCTGAGTCTCTGGCCCAAAGCAGCCACAGCTTCAACCAGGCCACTGGGAGAGGACACACTGCAGCAGTGGGGGAAGGGGTGGGGATGGCATTTAGAGGTCCCTCTCTGGGGCTCCTTTCCATTGCCCCAAAGCAGTACAGTCTGGCAGACAGGAGGCTGAGCTGGACTGCAGGCTGATATTCCCCATGTCCCTGCTCGTTTATTTTTTTGTTTCGGCTTTGCAAAGCACTCTCCGACACAGGTAAAGGCTGGAAGGTGATATCTGGATTCCCACCAGTGGATTTTCACACGACCATTAGTCCTGCCCTTTCTGCAGGCTCTGGCATCCTCTCAAGTGACTGCTGCTTCCCTAGGTCCTGTGGGTGGGGTGGGCATCCCATGCACATCCACTGCTCCCAGCCTCCAGCAAATATAACGTGAGTTAGCATACAGGAAAAGGGCCTGGCAAGAAAAGGGAATGACCTGGCACATGTCTGGGCCAGGACTGTTCACACCGATGGCTGCTGTG